CATACAGAAGGGAGTGTATTGATCCCATGATGGGATTGATTTACATACAGAAGGGAGTGTATAGATCCCGTGATGGGATTGATTTACATACAGAAGGGAGCGTATAGATCCCATGATGGGATTGATTTACAAACAGAAGGGAGTGTATTGATCCCATGATGGGATTGATTTACATCCAAAAGGGAGTGTATAGATCCCATGATGGGATTGATTTACAAACAGAAGGGAGCGTATTGATCCCATGATGAGATTGATTTACATCCAGAAGGGAGCGTATAGATCCCATGATGGGATTGATTTACATACAGAAGGGAGTGTATTGATCCCATGATGGGATTGATTTACAAACAGAAGGGAGTGTATTGATCCCATGATGGGACTGCTTTACATACAGACGGGAGTGTATTGATCCCATGATGAGATTGATTTACATACAGAAGGGAGCGTCTTGATCCCATGATGAGATTGATTTACATACAGAAGGGATCGTCTTGATCCCATGATGGGATTGATTTACACACAGAAGGAAGTGTATTGATCCCATGATGGGATTGATTTACATCCAGAAGGGAGTGTTTTGATCCCATGGTGATTTATTTACATCCTGAAGCGGTTGTTTTCATCACAAGGGGATAGATTTACATCCAGAAGGGGTTTGATTTGATGCCATGGATGGTTTATTTACATCCTGAATGGAGGGATGTTTTTATCCCAAGGGAAGTGGTTTACATTCTGAAGAGAATGTTTTGATCCCCTTGGGGATGTATTAACACTCTGAAGGGGTAGATGTGATCCCAAAGAGGGATTGTTTTACATTCTGAAAGGGTTTATTTACATCCTGAATTGAGGTTTTGCTCCCATGTGGGGATTTATTTACATCCCAAAGAGAGCGTTTTGATCCTGAGATAGAAGTGATTTGATCCTATGATAATTCCATTCAAGGACGTATCAGTTCCACGATCAGGCGGAGTGACTTATCCCTGCTCCTACATAGTAGACATCTTGATTTTGATATTTGATATTCAATACCATTCGCAATCAATCAGAATCCAAAGGACAAAAATATACTCTCCCTAAAAAGAAACGCATCATGAAAATAGCAATTTCATGTAGCAATGAATTACAACGTGATTCATTTTACAAAAGGTTTACTCTGTTTATGAGTCCTATGGTGTTTATGTTTTGAAACATCACAACAAAACGCACCATCCGTAAAATACCCGTATTTAACAGCATGATTTTCAATTTCGGCGTGTAGTGTCACAGAATACACAATTCACAACGTGCAGTTGCCCGACGCATGAATCTTCACCAAAGCACCATTTCACGGCTCTGGGAGAGATATCGCCGGCAGAATTCGGGAGCAGATGCCCCTCGTAATGGGCGACCTCGAGCGACCATTGCGGCGCAGGATCGCTACATTCGGGTACATCACCTGCGTCATCGAACAGCTACGGCGACCAGTCCCGCTCGACAAATACCCGGATTGAGGAGGCTTTCTGCACAGACCGTCAGGAACAGGTTGAGAGAGGCTGGTTTACGTGTGCCAGAAGTCCTTATTTTGGCCCTGTGCTTCGACAACAACATCGTCGACATCGAGTTCAATAGTGCACCAACGTTCAGGCCTGGAACCTACCGAATTGGCGTAGAATCTGATTCAGTGATGAATCACGATTTCTATTGGAACGACGCGATGGAAGAATGCGGGTGTACAGACGTCGACGTGCACGTTTCGCCGACGCTTGCGTTCCCCAGGTGGACAGATTCGGCCGGGCAAGTGTTATGATGTGGGGAGCGATCACCTGTCGTAGGAGAAGTGATTTGGTGATGATCCAGGGCAACCTGACAGCTCAACGGTACTGTGACGAAATCCTACGCCAACACCTCCTTCCAATCATTGATCGCCAGAGGGAGTTGTTTCAACAGGACAATGCCAGGCCCCACACAGCACGTCACACTAGAGACTTCCTCCAGAACCACAACATCAATGTGCTCCCCTGGCCCTCAAGATCACCGGACTTAAACCCGATCGAACATCTGTGGGATGCCCTGGACAGACGGGCGCGACGCCGTAACCCTCAGCCCCAGACACTTCAGCAACTCGCACAGGCACTACAGGCAGAGCGGGCTGCGATTGGGCAACACGAGATTCGGAGACTTATTCATTCGATGCCGAGGCGATGCCGTGCAGTTCTGGATGCCCACGTTGGTCACACGAGGTATTGACTTCAGCGCCACCACAAGTCTCCATGTGACACTCAAACTGACTTTCCTCGAGTTGGTGCCAAAGACGGATAAGTCTGCATTCCCAGTGCGCAATTTCGCTATATTTCATTGACTCATAACGCCTACAAGATGTTTCAAAATAAACAAATAAATACAGTTGAAATTCCTATATTCGTTTTTTGGGGGGAGAGTATACATTGTCTCAGAAAATGCTTGAAAAATATATGTGTGTTTCAGGTGAAAAATTAAGAAATTGTCTTCCACAAGCAAATACATACCAGATGCTGTTATAATTTAACATGAAGCATAAAACAGAAGTAATAAATTTTACAGACTACTTTTTACTAAAAATAGATAAGCATTTGCACAGCAAATTAAAAAAGACATTTATATGAAATCGAGTAACAAACACTTAAACGATCTCTTGTACATGCATAAATAGGAATGTTTAAAACGGTTAAGATAATTTTCGCAGGGAAAGAACTATGGGTATAACAAGCCAATTTCAAATGTCTGTGAATTGACGAGACGGGCATATATAATTTCATAAATATTAAATTTGAGAGATTCTTAGGCCAGGAGGCGGACCTCAGCATTTTGTGTGTCTCCAGTATCTTGTCATGGATGCCATTTAAAACTTTTATGAGTGAGTTACTAACTATTGTTTAACGCCATATAAACAATTTTGCAGCTACTCGCGACTAGAAATAGTTTTGTTGAAACTCCATTGCAGATTAGGGAATTAGGATACTGAATTCCTTTCTGCGCTTGGTCAGATCGGTTTTGGTACATTGTAGAGCCAAAGGGCCAGAAGACATGGTCAACACACCTCAAATGTTTGTCACTTGGTAGTCATAGAAAATGTTGAAGTGAGCCTCTATGGTCAAACCCAGTAGTCACACTGTTTTCTACCACTGATATCTTTAGAGAGAGCATGTCATGGTTAAAGTGAAAGTGTGAGGATGTGTGATATACTTAAAACAGGAAGGTGTCTTAATGACGCTGCTTAACGTTTTGAATGTTTCCAAGACAACAACTCACAGAATGAGCAACTCAGGCAAGACAGGAACCCTAACTTCCTAATGTTTCTACCTCTTGGTTACCCAGAATGATATGGTGCTATTATGAAAACAAACCAAATGAACCCAGGAGCAAACAAGTAATATTACCCACAGCACCGACTTACCTAATTGCTCAAGCTTAGACGATCCGCAATTATACAACTTTGATTGTATGATTTTTGTATAAAATGATTGTAACTAGAAATGTCACCTGTCAATGTGTATGATTTTTGTATAAAATGAATGTACCTACTGATGTGAATAAAAAAAATGTGAAAAAAAACCTACCTAACTTCAGTTGTAGCAATTATGCACGATTGCTGTTACTTCAACACCTAAGCCTAAGAAGCACAGGTTCGTGACAACATAAAGTAAAGTAAAGAAATAACTGCTTGGTAGGCGTAATGCAAATGATGATGACGTCATGTCCGCTGTGGAGATGGTGTGTAAAGCCAGGAGGTTACCTAGTACTCTTGTGGGACCTAGGCACTCCATACATCGCAGGCGTAAAATGTGGGGACCTCGGGGGAGATAGTGTAATTAGCAATCACATTTGTGAACACAGATATCGTGGGTTAGCTCTTGAAATTTCAGTTCGCCACAGTCGATCAAACTATTTCAGTTGTTGTCACTGAGCGTGTGGCATTTTCAGTCAGCGGAGCAAGTTCACATATAGTGTTACATTGGTTAGATTGTCGTTAAAACGCATTCTCACAAGTAACTGAAAATGTCCATCCTTTGTGTGTAGTGTTAATGTTGAGTAACTTCGTCCCTCGTAACATATTAGGTTCTTTGTTGTGGGTTTTCTTTTCAACTGTTCAAGTCAAATGGACCAAATCATGTGTATATACTCAACCAAATTAAAGATTTGACATTTGTTACATCGGAAGTAGTGAGTGCATTAATTATGAAAATAGATCTGATTCATGCTACCATCATCCAGGTAAATAACATTTGATTGGAAAATGTATGTATGACGTCCCATGACAAGCAGCCTGAACTTCACACTGACAAAGCTGTTGGAACAGAAGAATTCAATAACGAGTGTGACCTCCAAAGGTCTCGTGGTCAAAAGACTCTGTCGGGACGCTCTAACCGGAAGTCGTCACCAAAGAGTGCTTGCCCAAAGTCTTGCTGCTGTCTCATTCGGCTTCCCAGTTCATTCCAAATGTGTTCGACAGAGTTTACGTGTGGAGAAGGCCAGTCCATGGCATCAAAGCTGCAGATAAGGGGTGCAGCAATGTTATGTTAATGTCAGTGCAGGCCCACGTAGCTTAGTGAATGGCAGGAGGTCTAAGGTCAAAATGTGCTCTCGATGCTGTACGGCAGTATGTTTCCCCCGAACGACATCAATACAGATCCATCGTTGGCACAAAATGACCCCCAAACCGTTCTGCTGCGAATCGGTCAACCTCACCAACGTAACACTACCCTGTGACATTACCCTTAGTCCTAGCCAACTGCTGTATAGTTTGCTCAACAAGCATCTGAAGAACTACGGTACGGTTATAACGAAGTAAAATTGTTGGTCCCTTTGAATACATCATAACCGTTGTTCAATGAACGAAATTCAATACAAAACGCGTGTAAACGCATCCACGTTTAAGTCAACAATCATACCTCATATCCCACATACATTTACATATAACAGTTACTTATTTGTAGTAGTTAGTCGACAAAATACTGAAGTGTCTCTGGTTCATTATGTTCCAGTCGTGTGTCCTGGTATTGATCCCGTCCCTTCCGTCGCAAGGGGAACCGTCCAACTGTTTATTGAGGGGTCTTTGGCAGCCCTGAGGGTGGTCTGTCAGCACCGTTATGGGTTCACCGGACCAGACACTGCAACATGCTTTGAAGACGTCGACTGGACCGCAAGGGGAAGCTGTGTTGAAAATCATTGGTTCAATCTGGTGAGAATTATTTGCTTCAAACTTGTGTTTTAACATGTACAAACATGTAAGTACAAACTAAAATAAGGTATGAGATTTGGAAGGTAATTATCTATTATGAATCTGCATGAATACATGCATTATACATTTATCATGTCTTTGTGAGGTTTCACCAGTAGAAACATATATCGATCACTGGATACACATCTAATCACTCGGTCTTTAACCTTCACGTATATGTGTTCATCTACAATTTCGGAATTTACGGTATCTCTGAAATTTATGAAAGAGAAATTGTTGAAGTGATCCCTGAAGTGTGCATCCTACCGGAAATATGAACTGCATGCCATTTCCGTATGCATCATTATTATACATAATGGTTGTGACAATGTCAAGTTATATTTTAATGTGTACCAGTGCATGACGTCATACCTCTGATCGTTACGCTGTCTTATGGTACATTATGTAATTCATGTAAATTCCGTTTCACATCTTCATCTTCAGATGACCTTGTTGTTTCTGGGCATTACCAATGGCCACAAAGCATTGTGGAGAGTTTGAAATCACGAATAGATTGTCATTTCAGAAATTATAACTTCAATTTTGTGATACAATTTTGGACAACGTAGTACAGTGCGGAATCAAAAAGTTTATCTCAGAAGGCTTTATAAACACATGCTGAGCCAACTACAGTTTTGAATCTCTGCTTTGTTTAAAGATGGGGCTGTTCTGAGTTAAGGATGCATATTTCACAGAATTCAACTGATGTGTATATCAACATGTTTCCCATTGTTAGAATCATTGTAGCAAATTATGAAATATTGTTATATATCTGTCAATGAATTATACCAGGGAGACACAATTCATTAGTTTTAACGTGTTTCATAAACAATATGGTCATTCATATGGAATCTTTGCACGGATGATCCATAGTGGGTGTAACTTATTGAACTTGTTTACTTAGGATCACATTTAAATATATCCCTTTATCGAGTATTGCTAGAAATGACTCGTTAAACCGAACTAAGAGTTAAAGATGCACTCTTTTTTATCCAGAGTTGCCTGTATATGGACAGCTGCTTCTTGGATCTCGATATTACATCAAAATAAGCACAACCCTCATTCTTGCAGCCCACCATTTAGTACGTACATCTAACCACAGAAATGACGTTTGTTTTCATTATGTATACTTTTCAATTCCAGACTACAAATATCCTACAATATTTCCCTGTCCCACCGCGTGTGGGAACAAAGATTACCCTTGTGGGGCGTGCCGGGCCTACCAAGTAAGTATCATTTTACAATCTACTGTTTTGTGTGGAAATGACTACAAATACATGGTCTTCTAACCTTACAACGAAAAGTAGTATTAAACCATTGTAAAGAGAATATGGTAACGACCCAACTTCTGATTCAAGCAGACATTGTTGCCAATACTATATTAAGCTGCTGAATGTACCATCTTCATTTGTAAAATATCAGTACCCTATATTTAAAGATATATCCGTATCTTAGAAAAGAAAGTACACACACATTTGCCAGTCAACGGACGTACTTGTAGATAGTTCACCTCATATCTGAACTTACGGTTGTATGATGGTGGTGAACGTATCCTTTATATTATCCATAACCATGCAACGATCCACCTAGACGTCGATTCGATTCGATTCGATTCTTCATACAAGTAAAAACATCAGATTTCATTTAACTCTCAGAGTCGGCTTTTCTAGCGTGAAATCCATCGTCAGCTTGGCGAGGCCTACTAACAACAATTCTCATATTGTAGAATTAACCCGGCTTAAACCAGTCAGGTTTCGCCTTATTTCAGCGCTTGAAGCTGCTCGAGTTGGAGTCAAAATTACGGTCTCGTTGTGTGGAAATATTTTATCGATTCGAAATAGTGATAATGGTTATCGAAAATCGAAATAAAGGTGTCAGTTTCCATTTTCGATGAATCGAACAGATTCGTTGCAGCCCTACACACAAGCAGAAAATTAGTATCAATAAATGTTTTACTACGATTATGTTTCATTTCAGGTTTTCAGTTATTGTAAAACAAGCTCAAAATGTGACGATGTCTCTGACTGCGAATAATGCTCCAGGAGAGATCAAAAGGGCAAAGAAATATCTTGGCTTATGGGGACATTTCGAAACGGACACCACAGATGCACTGTACCCAACTGGAAATGTGTTCACCCTCACGTTAGAGTTTGCAAGCGAAGGCGAACTGAAGGTCAGTAAGACATCAGTTGCTGCACTGTCTGACGGTAATTAAATATGTTCATGCTGTAGTTATGAAATGCCAACAATATCGGCAAATGTAAGTAAACGAGATTTTGATTTTTAAATACAGATTTTAGACAGTAGGAGGTACATATATGTTTCTATAAAATCTTAACTGTCTGATACATTGCATAGTTTATTTTCCTGTTAGTGAAAACATGTTCCAATTGGATTAGAAATATCTGCTAATAATATTCTTCGGGTTTTTTAAGGGAACCATAATTGGAAATTCGTTTTACAACTTCACATATCCAGTCCTCGTCAGCCCCGATTCGCTTAAACTGGTTCAAGTAACGGACGACGTTAGCGTCAACGAGCTTCATATCCAATGGCCTTGAAGCGATGTTGGATGTCTGATTTGCAAGAGCTGGCTGTCTGCAGATGTCTTGGATGTTAGCAGTTTCTAAAACGTGAATATAAATGTATCATGAAAAGGTAAACCCTTGAAGAGGGTCTTTCATATGGTTTTGTGGTTGTTTTTGAGTGTTGATATTTTGTCAAAGTTAACCGGGTGTTGCTAAATATGAATCACTGAGAGTGTTCACTCTGAGCTTTCGTTGTATAAGGAATTGAGGGCTGGCTCTTGAATCCTTCTTTTGAACTAATTCCTGACTCTGGAGTGACCCTGAACGAGTGTGGTTAAATGCAGCATATATATTCTTTATAATTTAACTGATATACCTGGTAATTGTTTGAACAGACAAGTCTCCATGGGGCAAGGGTCTGTAACCGCCCTGAATGGGATGGAGGGAGTCATACGCTGCCTGTACATTCATACCACGGCTGCTTATGATCTGTGTTGTTTCTTATACTCCAATTTTGTGTTTGACTAGGTATTTTATTATTATTATTATTCAGTATGTGACACGTTTGATAAATTTTTAAGCTTTTCCTGCCCAAGAAGGCCAAGAACAAATGTTATTTGCTTTCTTGTTTTGTTGTCTAACGTTGGACTTAGCAGTGTTCCAGCTATATGATGGCAGTCTGTAAATAATCTAAACAATCCAGTGATTAATGTCAAGAGCATTGATCTACAATGACAGGTATCAACCAGGTGTGCAATCCTGACCACCTGATCGCCTCTTTTGACAAAGATGGGTCGCTGAAGACCATTTCCTACCCGGATATTTCACGGGTAGGAAGACATGTCGGCTTTGCGCAATCACTTACACATCTGAGCTAAGATGCAAAACAGAATGCATCCGAGACACAGAACAGTCACCATGTCGAATTGTGAGGTACACATGAGAGGGCACGTCAATATCCAATATTTGGCAAATCAAAAAGTGTAATTTCGTGACTGTGGGTGACAGGTGCCCTGAAACAGTTTGGGCTGCAGGCATAAAAACTTAAACATAGACGAGATCATCTCACTGATGAACTGGTTTGAACTTGTCTATGAAGTAGTGTTCTTTTAAAATTCGTTTTACTTTGTCCGAATTTTGAACTTGATAAAAAGGGAATATTGTAAATTTAACATCGTTTCCTTTCGCACAGATAATCTATATGTTCACTCAGTGGGATACATCGGGTTTCTGGACACTTTATTTGTTGTTTGTGGACACGATTGGCCAATATACTGTTCATTACAGTCTGTGCATGTTATGACATATATTATGTTTTTGGAGGAGCAGTCAAAAATTCTGTTTTACATAGAATTCTCCGTGTCTCGTGAAAGTTACAGAGTGTCCTTCAACAATATGTCGACACGTTCCACAGTTACCTCTGTTGCATCTAGACACAGTAGGATTTGATAAATTCTGTTTCTTTAAAATAAATTTGGCCTTTGTTAGTATCTTTTTAAGATTCTTATTTTGTCTTTTGTTGTTTATTATTTTTGTAGATTTCAGCATTGATTTCAGTTTTTCATCTTGTTCTAAGATGCACATATTTGTTTTTATGTTCTGGAACACATTTGGGTTCAACCGATTATAAGTAGATACAAAAGCAATTACTTTTTCCTCATTGGTTTGTTTAATCGTTCCTGACAAAAGATCTTCTTTATTAAGCTGTAAAGCTTTATTTATTCCGTCTCCAACAAGAGAATTTGGATATTCCCGTAATAGTAAAAACATCCTAAGTTCATTCAGTCTTTGATTGCGGGTGTCTTGGTTTGAAACTATTGTACATACAGGTTATATAGAAGCCTTCTTTTGGTGTGGCTCGGATGACAAGATTTTTAAGTTTAAATATTGTTTCGTATCTGTAGGTTTGTAGAAGATATCTGTGTCCAATTTCCGCCCCCGAATTGATATCCATTTTGTCTAAGAAAGCTGTTTTAGTTTCATCTGCCTCCACAGTAGAAACAAGATTTTCGTCCATGCTTTGTAATAGTTTGTAAAATGTATTTAGTTTCTCCTCAGAAAATGGCCAAATTATGAAGCAGTCGTCTAGAAATCTTTTCCAATTTTCCATAAAATAATAGGCAACATCCTCTCCAAGAATTTGACTGATTTTATGCTTGAACTTTTCCTCCAGATATCCTAAGACAAGCGTCGCATAAGTCGGCGCCATTTTGGTTCCCATGGCTGTTCCTTTAATCTGTTTATAGTACATATCGTCAAAAAAGAAAATATTGTTTTGTAAGCTGAATTCAACGCTTTCCAAAATGAATGATTTTGAAATTCTCTCACGTACGATTTAACCAATAATCCAACGCTTTAATTCCTAGGCTATGTGGGATATTTTAATACAAATTTTTTACATCAAAAGTTACAAGTTTGCTTGTTTCATTAACGTTTTGTGGTAAAGAGGAAAGGAAATGCATGGTGTCACGAGTAAAACTTTTAACATTTGATGAGATTGGTTTCAATAAAATATCAATGAAATTACTGAGTCTATGTGTAGCACACGCTGGGCCTGCAATTATAGGTCGGAGTTTCAAATCTCCCGGGTGTTCCATCTCAACATAGCTGCTTTTAGCACTTTCACAATGTCTTTTGATCTCCTTACTTTAATGAATTTTGGGTAAGCCATAGAAATTGCTCGATTTGTAGTCAAAATGTGTTATATAATTTAATTCCTTTGATGTCAGCTCTTCTGAGTACTCACTGGTTAGGTTCTTTAATTTCCGAAGTACACTGTCTGACTCTTTTTAACTGCACGGGACATAAGTACCTTTGTCCAGGAGTAAGTCCATTGCCATGTGTTTGTAGTTTGTTGAACCCCTTATCACTGTTGCTCCGCCTTTGTCAGTTTCTTTTATTATGATGTAGGAATCATTGGCCAAAGAGTTTAAATAATCTCTCTGTTTGCTGGTTATATTAGAGTGTTTCTTGCTTGCGTTGTGAATTATTGGATAACTGTATATTGACCCACAAAATTATCCAAATGTTTGTTTTGTCCCATTTTGGCGCACCAAAAACTTTTATTTCTAACTAGGGATTCCTCCCCATTTTCACACTCGAAAAAGTATTCCTCATTTCGGAGTTTTCTGCAGAATTCAGTTAAGTCTTCTTTCACTTCATTGCAGTTACTTGATTTTGAGGTAGGTGTAAATTTGAGTCCCTTATTCAATATTGTAATTTCAACATCCGTTAAAGGGCGCCTGGACAAGTTAAATATCTTTATGTTTACTGTCTTTGGTTTTTCATTTTCCTTCTTTTCTTCACATTCCAAGTGTTGAATGAAAAGGAAATTCAGTGTTGTAGTATCTGTGGCTTTGTGAGGGAAATACATCAGTTTTACCTTGATTTCGCGGCACTGGATTCTGATTTGTGTATTCCTCCTGGTGTGTTTTCTGCTGGTATGGAACTCCAGACTGGAAGTGAACATTTCTGTTATTTGTCATTATCCTTCCATTCTTGGTCTTGCTTCCGATAAATGTAACTGATCTGGATTTCGAATTTCGAAGTTTGGATTTTCCTTCATGTTTGTTTGATTTAGATTTCAGCCACGGATTATCAGCGTAGATTTTGGAAGAAAATTCTTGTTCGTACTACTTCAGCCATGAGAGGGTTTTTTCCCCATCTGTTATAAGAATTGATTTCTACTTTCTCACATTGTTGCTGCCATTGTTTGAATAATGTGTCGGCTGTTGTGCCCTGTGTAGTTTTGTTGATTTCTTCTTTCATCATTCTATCTATGTCAACAACTCTTTCCTGTTGGCCAGCCGATCTCATCTTCATTAGTTCTATCTCCGTTTGCATGTAGGCGAATGCTTGCATCTCTCTCTTTCTCCTTTGTTCTGCAGGTTCCACAGGAATCTCCTTTGTTTTGAATTTTTAGGTATGATTTTAGTATCATTGTCCAACCACTGTATGAGTATATCAGCATAATTGTTGTTCCGAAGGCCTTGCGAGAATAGTTTTCTTCTTTGCGTCAGTCGCCCATTCCATGCTTGTTGTATGGAATTCTAAATAGCTATTAGCGGTTCCTTGCACGATTGAGATGTACACGGAGTCTCCTTTTGCATCACAGATGTAACAGGTGAGGAATCGGTGATAACAATTGTCTCCAGTTTTCCGTTAATACTGGTTACTGTTTCACACAAAACATTTTTCAAGGTATCAAGGTTGCTATTCATGGTATTCAACAATTTACCTTCAGAGTGTTGTTTTTCAAGGAGTAGATCCGTAATTCCATCCAGTTTTTCTGTTTTGATATGTGAGTTAATAGTCCACACATGCTATTGACTCTCTCTCTCTCTCTCTCTCTCTCTCTCTCTCTCTCTCTCTCTCTCTCTCTCTCTCTCTCTCTCTGTAAATATATATATATATATATATATATATATATATATATTATGTATAATTGTACATAACACTTTCATTCAGAATGTTTTTTTTGCATATTATATGGCACTTATAGAAAAATACTTGATATTGTTGCTTGATTTGAACACACGCTGATTGCACCAGAGGCAGTCGACATATTTAGGGCTGCTTAAGCCACTGTTTTCTCTAACGCCCTTAATACAACAGGTTACTCAGATGGTAACATGAGTATAATGTTCACGAGAAATATTTCTTCGTTAGTAAATACGATTCCAATATAGTCTTAAGTGTTACCTTTCTACATAAGTGCATCATGATATGTCTGTGAACATTGTACACCTAATTGTAATACCCTTTGTTCATGCGTGTAGTACTTTAGCACAAATGACGCGATGTCAAATCATCTTCAAACTGAAATGAAGAAAGACGTTTTGTAACTATATGAAATATACATGTAACGTTGTTTTTATCTCCTTTTTTTGACACCTTTGGACAGGTACACATACAGATTGTACACGTGATATTTCGTGTACTCACAGAATTGAGTGTGAGTCAGTTTAGTTTTACGCCGCACTCAGCAATATTCCAGCTATATGGCGGCGGTCTGTAAATAATCAAGTGTGGACCAGACAAACCAGTGATCAACAGCATGAGCATTGATCTGTGCAATTGGGAACCGATGACATGTGTCAACCTAGTCAGCGAGCCTGACCACCCGATCCCGTTAGTCGCCTCTTACGACAAGCATGGGTTACTGAAGATCAATATTCTAACCCGGATCTTCACGGGTTCACAGAATTGAATATATATAAATACTATATATATATATATATATATATATATATATATGAGCGATGGGGTGGTAGCCTTATGGTCATATTTGTTTCGGACACTGATGACCCAAAGTGGACCCCACCCCCAAAGGACTGTTGCTGGAGAACTTCCATCACACTGAGACGGACGGCATGGATTTAAGTATGAAACAGTTGAGGCGATATCACTGACCTACTTAATCACAACAAGAAGGTTTTGATAATATAAATATAAACAACAATAAAGGATGCGACCTGTTTGTGGCGTCCTTTCTGGCAATCCTTTCTTCTTTAAAGTATTTCAGTAAAAGAGGCTTCAGAGGAAATGTCCAAGAAACTCAACTCCCGTTCGAAGTGACAGAAGTTGTCCTTTAGGAGAAAAAGTTCGACTGCCTCGCCCTT